AAATAAAAAATAAAATGAATACACTAAATGAGAGAAGACACAAAAAATCACATGCAATTGATCAATTTATTAAAATTACAAAATGGGAAAAACTAATTTAGTATATTAAAAGTTTCATTATAGGCAATCCTATGGTGGGGGGTGCAGGGTAGGGAGGTGGCAACATGGTAGAATAGAGCAAAAGGGGTATGTCCAAGGTTGAACTCTGTGCCTTGACAGAATAAGCTTGATTTATGAAAATTCACTTAGATTTACACTTCTGTGCAATTCTTTGTATGTATGTTTTAACCGCAATAAATGTACATGCATATCCATGTATGTGTGCTAACAAATTTGTGTCTATTTGAAAAATGTAGGCAATTTAATGAAAAGTAAGACTGCTGCATGATATATATATTTATTTATATATATATTTATTTATACAAGCACCGGGTACAGTCAGAGGCCCTGGAGGGTGAGAGAATTCACCAGAGCCAGAGCAGGGAACAGAACAGGCAGAGTAACGAAATACACTGCTGAGGGGAGCAGCGGGCACAGCAAGAGAGGTCTGTCACAACATGTGGGACCCTCACTGGTGGCTGGGGATCGAACCGGTGCTACAGAGGCTGCGGGAGGCCCAACAACTTTTAAAAAAGTCATTAAAAGCCGACCTAAGAATATAATAATATGATATTTAATGTTTCTATATTTATATTGAATGACCAATTTAATGAGAAACTCCAATAGGAGTTTATATTGACAATGGAATAGCATCAAACGATTTTTTTATCATCAAATATCATTAAGAGCACATACAAGATGGGCCTTCCTTGATGGCACAGCGGTTGAGCACTGGGCTGTGAAGCTGCCCACAGCCTCTGCACAATCGGTTCAATCCCGGCTGCTGGCGAGGGTCCCACATGGTGCGGCAGACCTCTCTTGCTGCGCCCGCTGCTCCCCTCAGCAGTGTATTTTGTCAGTCTGTCTGTCCTCTTCCCCGCTCTGGCTCTGGAGAATTCTCTCACCCTCCCACACTTCTGACTGTACCCAGTGCTTGTATAAATAAATAAATAAATAAATAAATCTTAAGGGGAAAAAAAGAGCACATACAATGTACTTATATATGGTAGGGGGTCATGGGGGATGTCAGTCTTAATCCGTGGCACACAAAAAATTAAGGTAACAAAAAAATAGTGAACATTAGGAAAAACATTCAAAGTTGGAGCTATTAGCAATTTGCATTCATATCCATTAAAGCATATATGTTACATATACAATTAGCATATTCTGGTCACCCGTCACTTAAAATTGAAAATAAAACAATAAATTCTAAACACCACCAATAGTGGCACAATTAGAAGTAGTCTTAGATCAAACGGTAGCCATCAGAACACCAGTATTTATTGAAGCCATGATAGAAAAGGCTAGTTGAAGGGTGTTTGAAGGGCAGTTTTCTTTTATGGCTTTCATCCACTTATGTATCTAATAACAACTTCGGGTTCTCCTGTTTCCACTAATGCTACCAGATGACATGTCTTCTACACTGATCCCTCTTTAGTATTATTGAGCCATAGGAGCTTTCCTCCTTTTTTTCAACTCCTCAATAAATGTAAATGAACTAAAAATAAAACACTGAGCAAGTGATACTATTATGCTTCAGCAACTGTCATTGTGAAACGCATACTGTGGACTTTCAAGTTAAAAATGGAAACATTTCTATTAATAGCTGATGATAACATGAAACCTCAAATGAATTCAAAATGTAGAATTTCTGCATTATCAGTTGCCAACACTCATTTTCACTTTAGATTCCAAATCTATATGTACTTTTTAAAAAATTCTCTGAAGTGTGTAAATGTAAAATAAATTAATAAAAATAACTCAGAAAATGGATAAGAAAGTTTTTAAGTGGCATGACAAAATTGGAGAACATATTTATTTATTTACATATCAAAAATAATGCTTAGTAAAATCAACAGAAGATTTGCTTTCTGGAAGCCTATAATTTGCTTTACAAAAGGCAACGGTGTAATGTGTGATATTACAGTTTTATTAATGTTTAAATGCAATCAAAAGGGAAGTAGATGATAATAACTGAGTGAGATTAGAGGCTTTAAAAAGAATAATTAAATGTATCCCATCATGTTAATAATTCCACCAATAGGGTAATAAAAAAACATGTTACGGCCTCCCTGGTGGCGCAGCGGTTGAGCGCTGGGTTGCGAAGCTGCCCGCAGCCTCTGCGGTGCAGGTTCAATCCCCGGCTGCTCCCCGGCCACTGGAGGAGGGTCCTGCATGGTGCGCAGTCCTCTCCTGCTGCCCGCTGCTCCCCTCAGCAGTGTACTTTGGTCCTTCTGCCTGCTCTGCTCCCCGCTCTGGTGAATTCTCTCACCCTCCCACCCTTCTGACTATACCCAGTGCTTGTATAAATAATTAAACAAACAAACAAACAAATAAATAAATGAACAAAGGAAGACTGACAGACCGAATGAATGAATGAATAAATAAATCTTGAAAAAAAAACAAGAATGTGGAGTTTAAAAAAAAAATGTTAAACTCAGAACATTTGAAGAAAGGAGGTAGCAGAATGGATGAGAACACACTTTGAGAACATGTGGTATGGCCTGTAGTTTAGTGAGGAAAATTGCTTCCCTACAGCAGATACTATACTGAATCGATTTACTGGGGGATAATGTAGAACAGAATAATATCCTTTTAACTCAAGTCCTTAATCTTTCATACTTAACATGTTAGTTTTATATATAGTATTGTTTATGCATTTGTTCAATGTGTATTCAAATATCTGCATGAAAAACATTTCATGTCTGTCCTTGCCTGTGACATCTGTTTAATTTATGAGGCTGAACTAAGTTATGAAGACATTTTAAGAAGTTCATGCAAGTATACAAAAATAATTCTTGGTATTTAATAGTAATTCTGCCACCTAGAGAAATGCTTACAAATGTTTAGACCCTGCTATAGTCTCTTTCTACAAGTGAAAAAGAAAGAAAACACATTAGTGGATCTAAGGTGCATGTTAGAAAGAGATTTTCCATATGCATTAAACTGTTCATATGACTACTAGTTTGATATATCCATATTACAATTAGTATATTTAGTTTTATTTAACTTGCTGTCATTGATATGACAGTGAAAGTTCATTTTAAAGCAGCTTAGTGCAGAGAACTCTCATCTTTTGGGAGCTTACAAAATAACACTGGATTTTTTTTCTCCAAGCATTTATTTTGGAGAAATGTAAATATAATGTATTTAACAGTCCAAATGCAAGTAAGGAACTTGCTTCCATGGAGAATTAACCACAGTTATTTCAGTCAAATGACAATTCTTACTTGAGAAACCACCAGGAGGGCTTACACAAATGATTTACTAAGGGTGCTTAAAGCAATTTTACTCTGCAGATTTGTTACTTTACAGACACATCATATAATTCAGTGGCTCCAGAGAACCCATTGCAGCTATTTTTTTTTAACAATAATTATAAGATTAAGGGTTTATTTTGGGAGTCATTAACGGTATCAGTGAAAGGATTAAAGTAATTTTAATGAAAATCAAATAGAGATCAAAGAGTTGGCAGAGTTAATGTCCCTACTATATTTTTAATGAAACCTAATCACAGACGAGCAGAATCCCTTCCTCAACACACAACCAAAATGGTTTCTAAAGAATCCTGTGTTTGGTAGTCTGACAGAAACAAGTAAAATAACAAGTTAGTCATAATTCCCATTTTTTACTATTTACAGAAAACTACTCCTGAAAGAACATTATAATACCTTCATGAAATGAAATGTTTAGAATTATTTTAGATATAACATCAGACAACTTAGAGATACTTGGGGGTATATCAAATATATATATATATATATATAAATGCAATAGAACCACAGGAAGAAATAAATGCAATCCAACTTGGGTCAAAAATAATGTCTAATTTCAAAATGACATTTCCCATTTATACTTACATTAGCATGAGCCAGCATTTTAGAAATAGACAAACAATAGCCCTCAGGTTTGCCCTGAGGCAAATTATACCTCTCAGATACACTGATTGTCAAAAAACCTGGTATGTTATAACTTGTATTAGTAATTTAGACAACAATAATTTATGAAAATAAGATACTTGGGGACCAATTTATTAACCATATATAACATACACATGAGAATATTATTAGCAAGGAGACAGTCTAAACACAAGAAAGATAATTCTTGAAATCTAGTGTTTTTGTTTTTATACTTCAATTTAAGATTATTTGTTATGTTTATCCTATATTTTAAGAACTCTACAGAAGGAAAGAAGATATCCTACTGAAAAAATAAATTCAGTAACTGAAATATTTACTGATTTAAAAATTACTTTATAACAAAATATGAAGATTCACAGTAAATAACTTTGTCACTGACCTGTGAAAAGTCATAATAAGAGTGAACTGGTATTTAAGAAATATTTAACAATGTAATTTAAGCCTTCTATAATATGGATTCTTATTTACTAGTCTCTTTAGAGTTAACAATCTTCTTTTATTTTCAATCCAGCAATATTATATGACACTTTATTTATATTATTTATTTCAATATGGCTATGCTTTTGGTTAGCTTAATTGTATTAAATGAATTAATTCATATACTAGCTATCAAAATAAGACTTTTTTCATTGATTTCCAGGACAATCAACTGAAATGCCAATGATTATTAAAAAGCCCTGTTAATTCTTTTATTCTTTTTCTCATACATGTGAGAAATTGTTAATAGTAAAACATGTTTTTTGTAATTTCTGAAGAAAACTACAAAATTTTGGTCCAAACGCTGTAAACTACTTTCTCATCTAATGAACTGAGTTCTAGAAAACACAGATCTGCATTTAGTTATACTGGGAATAACTGACTATCAAAAAAGTAATTAAAATTATCTTTAAACACAATACTTTGTTCTTACCTGTGCTTAATATATCACACAGAGGCATGTTAAGAATTTATGTTAAGAAAAATGTATTAAAAAGATCATACCTTTGAGACATAATCTTATAGGCATCTGGCAGATAGCATCGTATATTCTCCATCTGAGCAGGGTCGGAGTCGCAAATTTTGTCATCAGTCCTCCCATAGTTGGCACTTTCAATCATTATGACATCTGTTCCTGGACAGCGGAGCTCTATGGGGTAGCTTTCACAGGAGAGCTCTCTGCGGACAACAGCCATTGGAATTGGGGCACGGCTGAAAGCTGCAGGAAAGTGGAAAAGAAAAATAAGTCAACTTCATTATATACAAAAGTAGATGTGTTTGCTTTTCTGAGTTTTGGGTAAACTAATAACAAAAAATAAGTTATAATTCATCATTTTAACTAAGATAGAGTGTCTCTCTCATCAGTAAGTTTTCACATGTTTTTTTCTTAATTGAAGTAACATTGCATTATAACACTATTTAAGTTTCAGGTGCATCATTAAAAATCACCATGTTTAGATATGACATTAAATTCACCATTAAAAGTTCAATTCTATTTTCATCCTACAATTGACCCCTTTCAGCTGGTCACAGTTTATATTTTAAAATCTTATTAAGGCCTCCCTGGTGGCACAGTGGGTTGAGGACAGCACAGTGAAGCTGTCCACAGCCTCTGCAGCACGGGTTCGATTCCCGGCAGGCCAGGGAGAAACCCACATGGCGCGGCATACCTCTCCTCCTCACCCCTGCTCCACTCAGTAGTGTCTTCGGTCCGTCTGCCTATTCTACTCCCTGCTCTGTCTCTGGTGAATTCTCTCACCTTCCCAAGTCTATGACTGTACCCCAGTTCTTGTATAAATAAATAAATCTTTAAAAAAATAAAACCTTATTACACACAACTTTTTTCTTATAAATGTGGGGAAGAAAGCACTTTGGATGGTATGTGAGCTAAGGAATATGTTGAAATATTCAGGTTGCAGAGTAAAATTCTCAGTAAGGTTGTTTTGTCTTTTAAGGAAACCATTACCCAAAATATTTCATTGTTATTGAATACACATACAATTGTGGAATCAGTCTCCCCTCAAGAGTCACTAAAGTGTAAAATTGACTGTGATTTTTTAAATAAGGCAAATTCTGTAAAATCTGATAATTTCCCTTTATAGCATACATATGTCATGTTAAACATAAAAAATAGATTTTACATTGTACAGGGAAGGGCCCTAAAAGATGTGGTGTCAGAATCCCCCCAAAGGTCAGAAATGCTCTTCTCAATAAGCTTAGAGTAAACCTCTACCAATGCCATGTGGGTATGGGGAACTAAATATAATCCATGCCCTGTGACACTCAAGATATGTTACCATTTTTTAAAGAATGCAGAATATTTTAAGATAGGATCCTCTAAAATCATAGGGGCCGAGGAGAAACTCTTGTGGTCTCAGCCCTCTGCCCTTCTCTAATTAAAGATGGAGTCACCCCCCACTCTCTACAACTTGTAAGAATGTAGTTTGAAGAGTATCATTCAGGTATAAGTTTTTCAGTAAATATGTCATTTCTATCTAAGGAATTCACCTTTTTACTCTTAAGATAAAGTTTCCCCTTCTTCTCTCATTTTACTTTAGAAGTTCCATTTTTACTTTAAAATTTATTCATTCAAATGCTCCATTTTTCCACTTTTAAACTTTAGCTTTTACTTCTGCTACTCTGCCTGATGTTAATTTGTTTGTCCAGCCTCAGAACAAGCCAGAGGGTATGCCGGAATTTTTCCTTGTGCCCTTACAAACACACACACACACAAACACACACACGCACACAGAGTATTCTATTTCAATATAAAGAACCATTTTAACTGTCTTTATCAATAATTAACATAATAAGTATACTTTATGATTTAATTATAAAGATAATGGATGTTCTTTATTTAAGAAAGTAGAGATTTATATGGGCAAAAATAATTTTTTTTTCAACACCCTCTTCACAACTTCCCCCCACTGTCAGAAGTGTCCATTTAACAATGGTGACCTCCCTATTAGAATTTTCTACAGAAAAACAAAGATTTTATTTTTCACCCATTCTGCTCTTTTATTTTACACAGATAAATTTTACTCAGGTAGCATCACACTCTGCATAATGTTTGATATGTTATTTTATTCACTAATCATATATTGTGGAAATATTTATTACTACATTATATAGCTCAGTTTTATTGTCTGCATTATAAATACATTTAATATTACTTAATTGGCTTTATGTGTTGATGTACATTTAGGAATGTCCCAATGTATACATGCTATAAACTGCAAAAAGTAAAACCAAAAAGTAAAACCACAGAATTTGCCTTATTTAAAAAATAAACTGCAAAAAGTCCCAATGTATACATGCTATAAACTGCAAAAAGTAAACTGTGTATCTAGCTATAATACTTTGTAAAAAATAATATTTTTCCAAAATATTTGTGGTATATATCAATTGGGGGGAAAATACTTTCATTTGGCAAACATCAACAATGGGATGTCCAAAAAATTAAAAAAACATGCACTTCCAGTATTTTTTCTTCAAAACTAAATATTGCCTATTCCTTTAAAAGATAGACAAAAAATGATATAACAAACTTCTTTTAATTTTCACTGTTCAATTTATACAATAGAACATATTCTCATATGTATTGATCCTTTATATTTCTTTGTGAGTTGCTTCTCACATTTATGCATAATTTTCTGTTATAAAAATCATATATACAGCTAATTAAGCCTTTCTTATATTAGGGCAAATATGTTTTTCGAGTTTATTGTTGGCTTTAGATGTTTGCTGAACATTAAATTTCATTTTTAGATGGAAAACTGACCTTTCATGTCAAACTTAACAGTTTCTACCTCCAAGATTATGAAGATAATCAGTATGTAAATGAAAGAAAGCTGATGTTTAATTGTAAAAACTTAACAAGTCTTTTTTTAAAAGCATATAACTGAAACTCTAAATTGTTTATCAACAGTTAAATATGTTGATTTCCACATAAGAAAATTAATTCTGAAAATATGTATATGCTATAGATTTGCACTGATAGTTGATTAACTCACTAATGTACACATACATGAAACATACATAAATATATACAACTTTTCTTATGACTTTTTAATGCAGCATGAATTGTGAAAGCAAAAGGGAAGAAGAGAAGGAAGTAAAAAAAGAGATGGAGTAGGGAAAGAGAAATTTTTATTAGTATCAGACTCTTATTTTAAACAAGAGAAAATATAGATTGGTTTGTGAAACCAATCAAACTTGAAAAGACATTAAATTTTCTCAAGTTTCTCGAGACAGTATTTTGGAAAAAATATAACATACACCCCATGCATATTCAGGGCAAGTCACTTAAAGTTCTCAAGATGCACTAACTGAATTCTTAAATTACAATCTGGCTGTCATTCAAACTCTTCTTTCTGTGTGTATGTCTCTCTCTCTGTCTTTGTCTCTTTCACATACACAACCTAGCACATCCACTGCACTGATGAAAGAGATGAACACAATTAGAGGTTAGCTATAACATCATTTTTTTAAGATTTATTTATTTATGCATACAAGAGGTGGAATACAGGCCAGAGATGTGGGGAGTGAGAGGATTCACCAGAGACAGAGTGGGGAACAGAACAGGCAAACTGAGCGAAATACACTGCTGAGGGGAGCAGCAGGTGAGACAGGAGAGGTCTGCTGCGCCATGTGGGCTGCTCCCTGGCTGACTAGGGATTGAACTAGTGCTGCAGAGGCTGAGGATTGCTTCATAGTGTGGTGCTTAACCCCTTGCGCCACCAGGGAGGCCCCTATAAGATCATCCTTAAAGGATGATCGTAAGTCAACATTTTGACAGAGTATCCTGAAATCGCTATTTTTCAGAAATGACACTGCATATCAGGAGTGAGTGTTTCTATTGCTAATACAATGAAATCCCCTGCTTATCTGTCATTTAAAAATTAGATGGTTATTTAGAAGCAAAGTCTCTTCAATATCAAGTCTATATTTTCATGGATAAAGATATTTTCATTAATGTAGTTAGTATTTTAAATAACAGAATCATCTAATAACTAAATAATTCCCATTTGGGAATCCAATTATATGACTACAGCCCACATCAATGAAATCTCAGAAAGGTTGTTTTAAAAAGAGGCCCTTGAAATCAGAATTTCCTGTGATATTTTTTAGTAAATTTCCAGCATTTCCTAAGTGATGATTTGTTTCTTGACTTCAATATGACCATTTAAAAAAAGTCACATTGATACTGCTTCCGAACATTGACTTGATCTGGCTATATTTTATTATATAACCAATTAAGTAAAATTAAGTTAGAAAACAAGTTAATTGAACAAGGAAACAAAATAAATAAGCAAATTATATAGTCAGAGCATTTGTTTGACTAAGTGGACAATTTGGTTGATTAGACTCATCAGTCAATTTTGTCAAAATATGTGTACATAGACATAGCTTTAATGCAGCTTAACTGTCAAAAATATGATTTTGAATCAGACACTGAACAGTTGCAAAGTAAACTAAAATGTGGAGGCCCAAATTTTCCAAGTATCTCCTTTGACTCTTTAAGAATCATTTGAAAGTTATTGTGTATGGCAATTTTTACAGAGAACCAAAGTTGATTTGCAGATGTTTTCTTCTATTTAACATAATTGCATTTGTATCAGTAACTCACTGACAAATTGCACTGCTAAATGATGGATGCTTTGTTTAAAAGGATGTATTACTGAAAACTATTCTACAACATTATCTAATTAGCCATTTAAATTACTTTTAATTACACTGCTAAATGCTTTCATTAGCAACCAAAGTCCAATGCAGAAAATATACTTATGTTAAAAGTAAAGGTTTTTATTTTTTAAACCATTCCATTCTCTAATAATAGATGGACTTTCGTAACTGCAGATAAAGAACAATACATGTAAAATGCCAACAATTCAAGTACAAGGTAGTAAAATAGTCTATTTTAACATTGGAATGGATACTTTGAAGTGAATAACGAAAAATAATTTGGGGGAAAGAAGACCTTTCTTGAGCTATTTCCATCTTTATCCTATGAGTTAATCTGCTATAAAAAAAATCACCTATTAAGTATGCAATGGATATTTGCTGAATAAATGGAATAAGTTTTAGATGTGAAATCTAGTGACTCTTTGGTAATATGTTGTATTTTGGAGCTATCTCTAACCATAGCACTAAGGAGACATGGATAAAACTGAGTTTCTCTGTTAAAAATGGCCAGACACTCAGGAAACGCCCTAGTTC